GTAACACGCGCGCACTCATGTATATGTAACCTCTTAGGAAGCTCATTATAGATATATTTTTGCCTTAGATAAAGAGCATTATTTAAGAAAAAACTTTTAAGCAGTATAAGACTGTTAACGTGAACGCACCAGATTAAGGAGCAGTAGAACTGTTATGAGGTAAAAACTAATGAAATATGCAAGGGTCCAGGAGCTTCCAGTCAAGACCTTGTAGCTCTGTATAAAATGTAGGACATTAGCAACTGCTGATACATCCATAACACGAAATTCACTTTAATGAACTAAAACAAATGGCAAGTTACATCTATTTAATATAACACTATCCCAAAATATAAGCATTACTAAACATTTTCTCTGAGCCAATTCATACAGATATTTGCTAATTCCTCTAACAACCGAAGGATGGTGAGAGCCTTGCCGGCAAGAAGGAACCTGCATGCTATAGTAAGCAGTTTTCCAGTACAGATCTTATTAAACCTAATCTCGCAGTTAAGAGAAACAATTCCAAATTGATGCTGTTAATGCTTGGCACTGTTGTACATTTAATTTCCCTTAAAGCTTTTATTTACATCAGGCAAGCTTTTCAAAGAGAATTAGTTGCCTCTCCATGCTTTTGTTCCTATCAAGTAAGCTTTACAAAGAGGTTAACTATATGTTTCTTACATTAGACCATAAATCTTATGGTGCTTCAAACCTTTCAGGTTTTAGATTAGTGTGTATTGCAATATTTTATACAAAATTTATCCCTAGGACCTATGTAGTAGGCTTCTGGTGATGATTGGTGATATGGTCAAAACAAACCAGAATGAATTTCTTAGATTAACTTCAAACTGCACTCTCTTTTCGCATGGACTAATCAGGGATTAAATATAGAGGTCTGGCGAGAAGGTTTGTTAAGATTGATCTCAAAAAAGATTTTCAAAGAAAAATAGGAAACTTTCCATATCATGAGTATGATGCGTGTTCCTCAATATCTAGATTGGCTAAATAATTATTCACATAAATGGCTCAGCTTCTAGTTCCTTCTACATCAGTTTTTGAATATAATACAACTGCTCAAATTTCCACTGGAAAAAAGTCCAAAACTTGCATTTCATGTACACAAAAGATTACCACTGCTAATCATGGGGACTCTATCATATCTATTATTCAATATAGATTAAGAGATTTAGTTTTAAACCTGAAAAAATCACATTAATCACTAATACCACCAGTCATAATGTAGGACAAATCTATTCCTCTTTACAGAGAAGCAAATACAGGTTCAATAATTTAAATATCTGTTGCATACTTTTGCAGGCTTATATGAAACAAGGACTGATTCAAACCAGTCTGACAGGTCAGTTTGAGCAGAGTAGACCAAACAGAACTCAGCCAATCCCAACAGAAAAGGAAAGAAATTTAGCAAGGGCCCTAAGCTCAGTTGATGATTAAGCCTAAGAGAGCCAAAACTAAATTTGTACTAGAAAATCTGACTTTATTATGCAATGGGAGACATCCAGTGAATAATCTACTACTTGCAAGTAAGTGTGGATTGGCGTGCTTGTATCATTGTAAACAGGCAAGGGGCTGTTAAATATACTTGTCTACTGTAGATGAATGTATTACATTGCTGTGCGTGGATAATATCTTTTCAATTTACTATGCACATTCTCAAAATATACATTACTGTCTATTTCTCATTTATTGTTGCTGCATTAAAACTAAATCAACATTTGTTAGTTCTGTTGTAAAGAGGGGAATAACATGGGATAGAGCAATCCAGGATCAAAAAGAATACAGCCCCACTAACAGCAAATTAATACTAAATTACAAACTAGGCGAGATAAAACCATAATATTACAAAAATATGTACAAATACTGATACTGAAAACATAATTACAAAAACGAAATATTTGAATGAGAAAACATAGGTGGCAAAACTTAGGTACCTGCATCCACACTTGCCAATTTCCCAACACCAACAAATTGAATAGTGTCACCATTCCACTTGGGTAGTCATTAAAGTTGAAAAGTAAGTAACTAGTTCTGTTAAGTATGCCAAATTGGCGAAAAGCCTCTCCATAATATACTGAAATATCATGCTAGCATCTGATATAAATTAAAAGTCAACAAAAAGATAAAGGATACTCATCATCAAAAAGATCAGTTGCCACCAATCTCGGATTACCAGAGTTTACAATCCCACCAAATAACTACAGATTAAATGCACTTTTTTAAAAGGTTTATCATCAATAAAGAAGAATAGAGGACAACTATTGCAACAGATTCACTATTCAAACTGTTTTCCGTTAAAGCAAATGAGAAGCATTATGTTTTTACAATTCTTGGTGTATAATTATGGTTTCAAGAGAAATTCATGAAAAATGAGTTTCCAGTCCATGCATATACACATGCAATAGAAAGTACTAATCACACCATATTTAATATGCTTATGTAAAATTACATATGTCATCCTTGTGTAGCATAGTGAGCATCTAGTCTGTTGAATGTATAAGAGAACAAAGAGAACAATAGGCTATAAGGTTAACAACTTCAAACACAATTGATCAGCAACTGCTACAATAAAGGATCATAAGGGAGTAGATGACGTCTACACCAAAATAACAAAATAAAACGAGCACATCATAACTTTCTATTGGTTACTCGTTGAAGTTGAACAGATTAAAGTGCGGTAAGAACTGCTGAAGTTTCCACCCACCCACCCACGCACAATAATGTACATAGCTGAGTGATGCTAGGTTACTATTGCATCAATTCAGATGGTACATTATCAGCGACACTAGTGTTACACCTGTTGGAGCTTGTAAGTGCCAAATTCATCCAAGTTTTCTCCAGAATCATCTTTTGTAAATTGATTCTTAAAGGAATTTCTTTTGACTGTGATTCAACAGCTCTTCTTTGCCCAACTATCTCTAATTGAGAGTATTGCGGTGGGATCAATATATGAAGGATTAAGATATTGCTGCAAAGAAGGGTCTTGGTGTAACGGCTACTTCTCCAATAGAAGGAGACTTCTCACTCTCATACCAATTCTTGCACATAACTCTTAATTGTACTGTCATGCAACATAATCTTACTTCCCACTCTAGTTCTTTTCTAAGTTTTAGCTAGTTCTCACATATTAACTCTGTGATATAACCTCTCCAGTCAAATATAGATAGTGGTGACTAATAATGTATATCAAGCAATTTTAACGCCTCCTTACATGGTCACATAAAAATACCTACAATAGGTCAGCACGTTAAGGCACAATAAATACATATATAGGATTGAATATTTCATGAGTGTCCAACCAAGGACTTCGTAAAATCTTGAAATTTTGCGCTGATATCATGTCAGAGTCAGAGTCAGAGTCAGAGTCAGAAAATCACATAAACCAAAGGCTATGCATATGGTTAGTGGAATAGCAATATATATCGATCAAATTTAAATATTTAACAAACTCCATATAACTCATAATTTGCAGTCAGGTTGATACTCAGATACTCCTTCATGGGTTGCAACCTTCGGTTATGCATATTAGGAAAAAGATAGGAAGTACTGCAAGTTGAACTACATACCTGTAAACCAAGAGAGCAATAGATGCAAAGCACGCAGAATATGATACCCAAGTATGGCATCAAACTTGGAATTAAGGTTAAGAAAGTTGCCACAAATGCTCTATAGCGTTAA